TTGCAGCCGCTGGCGTATTTGCGATAGGAGCCGTGACTTTGCTGATAACCAAGTCCTACATTCAGAAGGAAACCCGAGATGATTACGAGGACTTGCTCGTGCAAGATGACTCAGCCGAGCCCCAAAGCACCTTGATGCAAGACTCAGTTATGGTTCATGACGTAGCGTTCTAACTTTCTTACCATACAAACTATTCACATAGCACGCACTCGCCCAGCCGACGATTCAACCGCTCGAATTCACCAGTGGTGGCGGTATGAATGCGGGGCTAGGTCTTCGATCAGGACTCCGACCAAGTCTCCGACCGGGTCTCAGACCGGGTATCCAACCGGGTCTCAGGACCGGGTATCCAACCGGGTCTCAGGACCGGGTATCCAACCGGGTCTCAGGACCCGGTATCCAACCGGGTCTCAGGACCGACTCCTCGATCTCAGGTAATGGACCTGAGATTGCTCCGCGTTGGTCATTATTCGGGGTTCGCGTGCATTGATGCGAAGTGGTCGAAGTATTCGTCGTCATCATCATCGAAGGGTGTGCAGGCCATGACGCCGTCCATGACAAGGACTTCCTCTACATCTACCGTTGTTGGGCTGGAGGGAACCCGCGCCCAGGTCCTTGCGGCGCGATCATAACCACACGCAAGAGTAGTATGCAGCACGAGCAGCAGCGACATGATTAGCTGCCACAGGTAGTCTACGAAAGCGACGTCCTGGGGCTCTAGCTGGTCCTCCTCCTGCGGCTCCTCGAACGTCGGTGGTTCGTCTTCTTCCCCGTCGGTCGTGGACAAAGTAGGTTGCTTCCGGATGTCGATGAGGGTTGACTGGTTGTGAATCAAACCAATCATCTCTTCCTGCAGTGCAAACGACATGGTATAAGACAGATAAGTAAGGCAGTCCAGAAGCAGATAAGCCAGTCCAGGTTGATGGTTCGGCCTGTTGAAGGCAAGGTGCGTGTAGCACACACGTGTGCAGAACAGTCTGCCGAACCGTTTGCAAAGCATTGCTATTTGCAGAAGCGTTTGCAAAGCAGAACAATTTGCCGAACCGTTTGATGTGGCGATGGTTGCTCCTGTTGACGGCGTCAGGAGCCTGGGGTCAAGTATGTGACGCCGAGGGACACGTGCCGGGCGGAGGGAACGGCGGGAGTTACTGGCCGTACGGACCGCCGAACTCGACGGGTGCTCCGACGGTGGCGCCGACGGACTCTCCAACAGACTCTCCGACGGAAGCTCCGACGGACTCAGGAACAACGGTTTCTCCATCACCAACGGCATCTCCTGAGGTACCGAAAGGGGAGATTCTTTCCCCGGCGAACAACTATGACGATATAAATGCTGATCCCCCATTACAGCCAGTGGATGGCCCGACGGGTCCGAGCGGGGAGTGTGTTTGGCCCTTTATTTCGAGTGTAGGTTACAACGTGGGTATGTACGCGTCGGTGGGTGGTAAGGTGTACACGCCCAAGTGGTACATGAATACGGCGCCGCCGGGGGATGGTTGGGATGAGGTGGGGAGTTGCACGGGAGAGGCTACGGCAGGCGATCCGTTGACCGACGAGGAACAGAAGGCGAAGATCACGGACCCCGACGTGGTAACCTGGGTGTTCGATCCGTGGACACCATTCCACCCGACACCGGACCAAGCGGCAGAACTGCAACAAACGTTGCTCGATTCTGTACCGATTGCTTCGAACATTTTAAACGCTCTGCGTGTGCTCGACTCCTCGGAGGTGGAGCTGATTGCTCCAGGACGTGCTGAGAACCCGGACAATGTATTGCGGGCAGAACGCATCATTACGCCTGAGCTATTTGTGCAAATCTTTCCGTGCCATTTGCCTGAATATAGTTACGAGAACTGGCTCAAGGCGATTGGTGCTCTGCCCGACTTTTGCAAAGACTATGGAGCAGGTCAAGACTCGGACAAGATCTGCAAAAAACTCATTATTGCCGCGTTCGCCCACAATGGTCAGGAAACTGGCAATAACTCCCCCGCCGGCAGCGTCACTGAGTGCCAGTCCAACGGCTGGGGCGAAGAGGCAGGTTGGAGCTTCTGGACTGACAAGACCGGCGGCAGTCTTGACCCCGCCTTCCAGGCATTCGTGCACTTGCGCGAGTCGCCCTTCACTGCGGACACTGCTACCTCCCAATATGATTGCAAAGATGCCACTCAGGACTTTTGGAGCGTCTTCTATCCCTGCCCTGGGAACGTGACTTATTTCGGCAGAGGCAGCCACCAGGTCACCTACCAAGCCAACTATGGACTCTTCTCCATCTCCATCAAAAACGACGCTTTCTACCTATGTAATAACCCTGACGAAGTCGCCACCACCTACCTCAACTTCGCCTCCGGAATCTGGTTCTCCGTCACGCCTCAGTCACCCAAACCCTCCATGGTCTGGGTACTCGACGGCACCTGGCAACCCAATGACGCAGACAAGGCCAACAACCTCGAACCAGGCTTCGGCGCCACCATCAGCATCATCAATCCTATCGAGTGCGGCCAAGCTAGCAACGCCGCGGCCGAGGGACGCCAAAACAAACTCAAACAAATCGCCGCCTTTCTCGACTTCGACATCGCCGAATTCGGCAAACTAGACTGTGCTGACTCCAAAGATTTTTCGGCACAAGGCAGCGCCGTAGCCGACCTCTACCTCAAACCCGGACAAAACTTCAACTGCGAAACCACCGGCGACAACACGCCCTTCATGATCACCAGACCCGGAGACTACAAACGCTGCGTCGACTTCTACTTCCGCTCACATGTCTGGTACAAAGGCGTCAAAATATACGAACATGGACTCAAAATATAGCGCGCACACGCGTGTGCACATACTTGTGCGCCCCGCCAAATTTGATCCAATCCAGTCGTGGGCGCCCTTCCAACTCACCCACCGTCGTCTGAATTTATTCGTCGTCGTCGAGGTGGTCATCGTCGTCGATAGCGTCATCGAGCTCCTGTTCCGAGCTGCCAGCGTCATCTTGCTTCGAACCGTCCTCTTCGCGTTCCGCTTGGGGCAGTGATCGGAGATAGCAGCTGATGACGAACCTGACGGGTTTCCAATCATTCGAGAGGAGCGCCATCCGCTGGTGGGTTAGGCGGACTACGGTTTCATCGTGTTCGCGCAGCTCCCCACTTGTGAGGCTTTTGCTGTGGCTCCAGGTCAGTAGCTCTAAAGTTCACAGCGCTTGAGTGAGGGTCTCTAGGTTTTCTCTGTGGAGGGTTACTGCGTCAAGCGCAAAAGAGGGGGGTTTGCTTGCCATTTTCGTTGAAGGAATCTCCAATAAGTTGTTGGGCGTTGGTCGTGGTGTCGCATCTGGCGCATTGTAGGACTTGATGTGTGTCGCAGTCGGGTAGGTGTTGAGGGTCGAACTGGAAGAGGGTCCGGAGAGTGTCTTGGCTGATTCCGGTTTTGAGGTCCTTGGGGTTGAGCACGATGTTGCTGACGAGATCCTTGGCAAGTTGTCTCTGTAGAATTTTCTCTTCTATGGTGCCAGAGCTGAAGAGCCGGTATATAACGCAGGTTTTCTGCTGGCCATCGCGCCAGATGCGGGCGAGGGCTTGCTTATCATTAGCCGGGTTCCAGTCTGCGTCCATGAGTACTAGTCGGTTAGCGCCGACAAGATTAATACCCGCACCCCCAGCCTTGCTGGACAACAGGAACACTAACCCGTCACCCAACACGTTAAATGAATGAACCTTCTCCTGTCGCTTTTTAATGCTCGTCTTCCCATCCAACCGGACCACACTCACTCCAGACAGTTGGCAGTACTCTCCAACCAAGTCCAAAGTCTGGGTGAAGTTAGACACTACCACTAGCCGATCTCCCACACACTTCACAGCCTCAATTAACGAATATAGAAACAAGAACTTCCCACTCAATCCGACGCAGTGACCCGTAGACAACGAACCCACATTCTCGACCATGCATCGAGAGTTCTCTCTACTTCCTCGGGTCACCATCCTGCCGCCACCACTATTAGACCTACTACCACCACTAGCCAAAGCACCCGCCAGGGCACCGCCGAATCCGCAACCCTCTACAACCCGACGCCACTCTCCGGCCATGTCCTCAGACAACGAAGATAGCGGTACTAGAAACGGGTGCGTGCACACCTTACACAACAACTGGATCAGGCTCAAGACTCCGCCGAGACGCTTCGCGTCCGCTAGCGATGAAACCAAAGCGATCAATCCCGCATACAACTTGATTTGTACCGGAGACAATGAGCAGAAGACGTACTGAAATTCGAAACAATGGCACTTGCAGTGGGCTTACAGTTGCAGTCAACAACTGCACAGCAGTTGCAGTGAACAGTAACTGTTGTGGAAGAGTGCTTACTGCTACGACTTTGTCCGGCAAGACCGTTCTGAGTAGAACGTTGCTTCGTCTGAGTACGAAGGCGTTGGTGATTTTCGCGAGCGTGGACAACTTGTCTTTGGCAAAAGTAATCTCCTTATCCGTTGCGTCTGGGTTGATCCCTGCCAGGATCGGATTTACATAATTTTTCCGGGATTTGTCGTCGGTGAAAATTACAGGGTTAGCGAGTGCGCCCAGGATGAAGAATTCGTTCAGGTCATTTTGTAATGGTGTCCCCGTTAGTAGTAATCGTTTCCTGCAGTCCATAGAAGCAATGGCCGAGCTGATACCGCTTTCTGAGTTCTTTAATCGGTGTGCTTCATC